GGGGCTCGATCCCAGGACCTTGGGATCATGACCTGAGCCGAAGGCAGACGCTTAACGACTGAGCCACCCAGGGGCCCCAGGCGTCCCCATTTTATCTAGTACTTTATAACATTTTCCATTTTCAAAATGGACGTGAAAAAGTGTATGTCAAGGATGCCTGTGAAGAGTTAAGAAAACCGTTTCATGACAAATAAGCGGAGAAAACATCGTTGCATTTATAAATTATTATAGTGTTACATAATTCATGATTTTCAATGTGTGTGTAATCAAATTGATGAACTAAATTGTATAAATAGACATTTGTCAGTTTATCTACAGCCCTTCAAGTTATAGCCACAAGTTAGCCAACCATTAAAGTTCTCCTCGTTGGGAAAAGGCCCACGTGTAAATAATAACCAAGCTTTGGGAGGACATTAGGGTGGAGGGTGGATGAGGTTTTGGCTGGAGACTCCAGAGATGGTGAGGGACCCTGTGTGTCTCTGGGACAGCTAAGGGGAGAGGGCATTGGAGGGGAGAAGCCCCGGGGTGGAGGGAGTCGGTTAGTAATAGACTGCAGCAACACCCCCTAGTGAGAAACCAGGCAATCATCACCCTTCACTCATTCCAGCAGCAGGGGTATACTTAGCTCCTGCTCTCAGCCACCTAGCCTGAATTTGTAGATTCCTCCTTCTGTATTGTTGTAAGGAATTTCTGGCATCTCAGCTTCATCTAATGAAGACCACTATTGGGTTTCAATTATCGATCAACCAACTGTGCTATAAGAACCATTCTCAGCTGTTGGAACTGGGACATTAAAACCCCAAAGTCTCCTGGGGTTCACTTATATTTATAAATTCAGCCAAGTTTAATGTTATGTTCCTTCCTCCTTGACTTAACATGTCTAAGTTACATGTATATTCTCTAGGTTTCAGCTCACTTATTAGCTAAGGCTTGCCTTTTTTTTTTTTTCCCTTCCCTCCCTGCTTGCTAGCTTTCTTTCCTAAATCAGTAAATCACCTCTAGGGTCAGATCACGTGCTTGTTCCCTGGGGCACTTTGGACTGGGCCAGATCTGGAGACCAATAAAGGATAATGATCTCTGAGGGGAATCAGCATCTCTTTGCAAAGTAACTTCCTCAGATAAGGCCATTACGTGCTTTCCAGGGAAAGCAGGGTCAGTCTCATTCAATGGGAGGAGGGGGCTGCATCTAATGCATCTAAGGCAAAAGAGTTTCACTGAATTTTGGATTTGGAGAGATAGGGAATTTAGTCAGCTGCATCCACCCAAACACCTCCTTCTTGATTGCTAAGTGCCACTTGTTCCCATCCAATGCACCTGGCCAGCCTGTGAACACAACTTATATTGCAATTATATTACAATTCAGCAACCCACAGTATCATCAGCTCTGTCCAATTTTTGGCAACATAAGCCCTGTAGCTACAAGAGAGGAGATAAATTTTTTAGAGTAGTCAGGAATGGCCCTTGCTTCTCTGGTCCTGTCTTGAGCTGAGAATTTAAACCCTAAATATTTCTTTTTTGAAAGTCTTCAGTGCAATTATAAATAGGCAGCCTACGTGACAGTCCTCACAGTGCTCACTCCCCTCTAATGGTCAGTGTGACAGCCACTCCAACCACCAAAGCCTATCTTTATTAGGCACTTTCCCCCAGGCAACAATGCTTATTGTGATAAGTGATAACTTCTGTAACTACTTTCTCCCTGCCCAAAGTAGGCTAGATCTGCATCACCTTCAAATCTAATGCCTTGACCCCTTGGAGGTCAGTTTCCTGCAGAAATAGAAACCTTGCTGGGCATTCTCTTTAAACTTTTTATTTTGAAAAAAATGTAGGTTCACATGCAGTTGTTTTTTTTTTTTAAGATTTTATTTATTTATTCAACAGAGAGAGAGAGCACAAGCAGGGGGAGCAGCAGGCGGAGGGAGAAGAAGCAGGCTCCCTGCCGAGCAAGAAGCCCAATGCTGGGCTCCATCCCAGGACCCTGGGATCATGACCTGCGCTGAAGGCAGATGATGCTTAACCAACTGAGCCACCCAGGTGCCCCTGTTTTTTGTGTTGTCTTTGTTTATTTGTTTATTTATTTAATTTTTTTTTTAGAGAAAGAGCGCGAGTCAGCGAGAGCAGGGGTGGGAGGCCATGAGAGAGGGAGAGAATCTCAAGCAGCTTCTCGGCTGAACTCAGAGCCCACGACCCTGAGATCATGACCTGAGCCGAAATCAAGAGTCATCAATAGTCAAATGGTCAACTGACTGAACCATCCATGCGCCCCCGTTCATAGGCAATTGTAAGAAACAATACAGAGCAATTCCACCACCACCCTTCTTTACCCAGTTTCCGCCATGCTCCCATCTTGCAAAGTTAAGGTACCATCATATCACAACCAGGATATTTACATTGATACAGTCAAGGTACAGAACATTTCCATCCTACAAGGATCCCTCACGTTGTCTTCAGACTTATTTTAAACAGAAAGGGATTTCATACAGAAAATTAAGTGTTTATAACATTATTGGAGGGGTTGAAAGAAGGGTCTCTAGACTGGTCCTCTAGTCATGGCTCCCAGAATACGATAGAACTCACCAACCAAAGGATATTACTTCTGCCACAATCAGGAAGATGAGGAATCAAGAAGTCATCACCGAGATTATTGCATTCAACATATCGCCAGCAAGAATCCAGGGATCTAGATTTGGGGCTAGAAGCTGGTTCCTAGGCACTAGAATGCTGAGTTTGGCTGTCAGCATCTCACAGATGCTTCTGAACACTCATGAAGCTGGAGACTAGCCACTATGCACTGCTGAAAACCCTCACATTTGCATGACCTTGCTTGCCAGCAGCAATCAGCTAACATAGGTAGGACAATGGCTATTGCCTCACTTCTGCCTTCCATCCAATCTTAGCAACTGGCAGAATCCATCTGTATCTGGAATTCTAACTGCAACTGAGTCTGGGAAATGGAATTTTAACTTTTTAGATTCTGGAAGGAATGGATGATGAGTCCCAGCTGACTACATCCAACACAGATGGACACAGAGGTAGATCTGTGTCCTTCGTATTGGGAGGACAAGAGGGGTCCTATCAGATTTGCTATGATTTTCCTGTAAAAGAAAGGGTGAAGTCAACTGCTGCTGAGCTTTTTTTTAGTTTCCCTACTGATTGTGAAGGGAGGAGTAGAGACTTGGCCAGATGGACATTTTTTGACGTTCGTCTTCAGGCTAGTGATCATGAGTTTGTAGGGAACAATCTGTCCCTTTGGGTATTTTGTCCAACTGTGCACGGCTGTTTGGGTGCAAGCAAAGAGAAAAGGCGCAGTTGGATTTACTGAGGGTTGGAAAGCTTGCCAAATCCATGTGACAAAAAGACAAGGGAGGAAAGGAGTTCAGAGTGGTGGCAAGAGTGTTATGAAAACCCATGGGAGTGGGGCACCTGGGTGGCTCAGTCATTAAGCGTCTGCCTCCGGCTCAGGTCATGATCCCAGAGTCCTAGGATTGAGCCCTCATGGGACTCCCTGCTCAGCGGGGAGCCTGCTTCTCCCTTGCCCTCATTCTCCGTCGTGTTCACTCCCTCTCAAATAGATAAATACAATCTTAAAAAACAAACAAACAAACAAAAAAACCTCATGGGAAATAAACAGGATCAGAAGTGAAGAAAAGAGAAAGCCCACGAACTGTGAGGAAGTAGAGGTGCAGAAAAGTTGGATAGAGGCCACAGAGGGACTGTTCAAGTCGGCAGACACGTTTGTTTCCAGCACCCTCGTTCACACCCAGACTACTCCTAGATCTGCCCTAAATAGGAAATGGGGCAGTGGTTGGCTCAGAAGGTAGAAAAACATAAGCGGGGGGGGCACCTGGGTGGCTCAATCGTTAAGCGTCTGCCTTCGGCTCAGGTCATGATCCCGGAGTCCTGGGATCGAGTCCCACATCGGGCTCCTTGCTCAGTGAGGAGCCTGCTTCTCCCTCTCCCTCTACTGCTCCCCCTGCTTGTGCTCTCTCTCTCTGACAAATAAATAAAAATCTTTAAAAAAATAAAAATAAAAAAATAAATTAAAAAAAAGAAAAAAAGAAAAACATAAGCGGGGATCTGCAACTTTGGAGTCACAACTAGGTTCACGTCTGTGCTCCTCCACTTATAAGACGCGTGACAATGGGCAATTCATTTACTCTTCCTGAGCCTCCGATTTCCCTTCTTCAAAAGGGGGGAGAAAAAGACTATCCTACGGTTAGCGAGAGGACTTAATGAGATCACGCACGTCAAGTGCTTAACACACTGCCTGGCACACAGTGAGCGCTGAACGCGGGGAAGCTGTTACAGTTATGTTTGGGGAATAGAAAACCAAGGAAGGGTTACAATGAGGACAAATTCTAAGTGCAGAAGTACTGTAATACAGAACTTCTGGGTAGGTAGGCGCATGCGCCTGTCCGCGGGCCTCGCCTAGCGCGGACGTTGCGCATGCGCCGGAAGTTGCAGCCGGGAAGCCAGCGAGGTCGGTTCCGCCCGACTCTAACATGGCGGCGCCCTTTGTCTGCTCTGAAGTGCCGTCCCCGGCCTTCTCGCGGCCGTGATGCACCTCCCTCTACGGTGGGGTCCGGGACATGGCAGGTGAGGGTCAGCAAGCGCCCGGGGCTGGCCGAGTCCCGAGAGCCGGCGGAGGCGGCGAAAGATGGGGCGCGGCGGGACGTCGGGGACGGTTGTGTGGGGGAGGGGAGGGAAGTGGAATGAGAAGGGAACGGACTGTGGGGACCCCCGCGGGGCAGGAGGGTGCGGGGCAGCTGGGGTGGGGGGCGCCTCCAGGCGAGCGGGCGCGGAAGGGGCGAGCAGACCGGCAGTTCCTGCGAGGGAGCGCGGGTCGCCTCCCGGGTTGGGTGACACCCCAGCTGGTAGCATCTCCGCCCCCGCCGCCCAGCTGTCACCGTCCCTTGACCCCACGCGCCGCGGCGGGTGGTCGTTCTGCGGCCGTAGGCTGGCGGGGTGCCAGGGCAGCTCACGTCGGCGGGTCGGGGCCAGAGGGCACGGACCTGCCAGAACCAGGAGGTGCTTGCAGAGTGGGAGGTCGACACTGCCCCTGTATAAGATTATTTCATTCATTCGTTCCTTCCGCAGACGGTGGCCCGGCATCTGATAGGTTGTGAGGATAGAGCAGGTGAACCGGACAGACTTGCTCCTGGTGTAGTGGTTGGAAGTGTGAACTGTGGAGCCAGGGGGCCGGGGTTTGAATCCCGCCTCTGCTTGCCCGCTGTGTTCTGAAGCACGTTAGGTTCTCGCTCTCTATCTCAGTTTCCTCAAACTTAAAGCAGAGATAATAATAAAACCTGCCTCCTAAGGTAGTTCTAAAGATTTAATACGGTGATAGGTGCAAAGTGCTAAGAACATTTCCTGGCACAAAGTAAATACTGTGTGTGTTTGTTGCTGCCATTATTTGTTTCATGAGACTCATGTGGGAGCCATAGAGATAAACAGGCACCTCTGATACTGCTATGATGGAAGAAAAGCAGAAAAGTTGTCCTTGCTCTGGAAAGAGTAGAGGCACCTCACTCGGTCTAGGTGAATCCAGGGAGGCTTCTGCCCCGCAAGAAGCGGAGACCTAAAGGATGCTTAGGAGAGTGGAGACAAGAAAAGGGGGGAGTATTCTCGTTGAAGATGGAGTTTGTGAGAAAGCTTAGGGGCTAGTGTAATAATTTCTCTGCCTAGAGACAGAGCTGAGAGATAAGACTGAAGAAGCTGGCTGTGGTCTGGTCCTACGGGGCCTTGTAAACCTAGTTAAGGACTTGAAGTTTTAGGTTAATGGGAAGCCATTTAAGAATCAGATTTGTGGAATAGAACAATCACCTGGCTATGTGAAGGATATATTAAAGAGAGCAGGCCTGGAGACCAACGAAGAGGCTGCTAGAATAATCCAGGTGAGAAATGAGGGTGGCCTCGAGTCAGGTTAGAGGCACAGGGTGATGAGAGAGGTTTTGGAGAATTGACAAAACTTGGTGATTACTTAGGTGAGGAAGTTAGAGGCAGAGAGGTGTCAGGATTGACCTCTTCTTGACCGGCGGGTGGTGATGCCGCTCAGTGTGATAGGGAGCAGGATGGGGAGCGGATGCGAGAAGGGAAGATACATTTAGTTTTGAATAGGTGGAAGGAAAGTGGGTGCCTGTAAAACAGTCCAGTGGTGAGCTAGCAGTTGTCATCCAGCAAAAGTCCCTAAAGTTGTGGGAGGGGGTGTGCTCACCGAGGGCAAGGGTATGAAATGAGAAGCAAGAGCGTCTGAGACACCCCACGGGAAATGCTAATGCTGTACCAACACAGGAACCTGGGCACAGTCTTGTTGCTCTTGCTTTTCAACATTGTGTTATGTCTTTTGGTAAGCAGGTATTCCTGAGCGTAGGGACCAGGAGCGGGTTTACTCATCTTTGTGCCCCAGCTGTCCAGCGTCTGGCATGGCGTCTGGCATGCAGCAGGCCAATAATGGTCCAAACAGACCTGTACTGAGCGCTTACATTGTGCCAGGCTCTGTGCTCAGGGGTCTGGATTTGCCTGTGTTTCTTGGATGCATAAAAGGGCAACTCTTAGGGAGCAGGTGCCTTTCGGGTTCTCATCAGATTTTCCACTTGGGTGTCTTTGATTCAGGTAATGAGCTGGAGGAGGAGAGCCAAGCTGGAGTTTACGCAGACAAACTGTCAGAAAAGAGTAGCCTGGGCTACTTGGAAATCTGAGGTATGTCTGTAATGCTCAAGGATGAAACAAACCAGGAGGTCAGTTTGTTTGTCCTTCTTCTCTAGGCTCAGTGTGACTCAAATCACCCTTTCAAGACAGCCTTTTCTTTCAAGTTATACAGTAATGACAACATCTGAGTTTGGTTGGGAAATTGTGGCTATCATTAATGCTTGGTTTACCAACAAAGACCAGACTAGGTTAATCACTGGGCAAATGCTCACACCTTGTTTTAATCAAGTACAACCTAACATGTTCCAACAACGCAATTCCAAAATACAGTGGCTGAAACAAACCCAAAGTGTATTCCTCCCCTCTTATTAAACGTCTGGAAGTGGGCATTCCAGAGCTGGTAGGGCATCCTGCTCTGTTCTGTGAAGTATCCAGGAACAGGTTCTAGTGATCATGTGACTCTCTTTGCTCAAACCCAGGCTTCCGTCTCATGGTCGAAGCTGGCTGCTGCAGCTCCTGCCATTGTGTATACACTCCGTCTGGCAGAAAGGGAAAGACAGAGTGGGGAGCACATGTTCATTCCTTTTAAGGTTCTGATGTTTAAAGATACATATTTTTGTACAACATGTCCCCAAACACGAGCATCTGGTGTACAACCAAAGAGCGAATCATGACTGTTCCAATGCTGGAAGGAAAGCTGGCTGAGAGAGCCTGCTTGGTCCCTCGTGTGACTGAATTGCTGTCTCCGAGGCTTGGGCCCAGCCTGAAGGGAAGTCCACTGCATTGGTGGAAGAGGCAGGCTGCTCTGGCTTTGGGTAGGTTGATGTTGCTTGGGCCCAGGGAGTCCAGGCTTGTTTATGCATTCAGTGTTTTCTGTGACCAGTGTGTCAGACACGGTGCTAGGGGGTGTAAGACTGGATCCCGGGAGCAAGGAGCTCTTAGCTATGTGGATGATCATGATACAGTACAAGGAGCACCACGGGGGAGGCACAAACAAGAAGGATGACTGATGTTGGAAGGCTCTACCGAAATGGGGAGATTAAGAGTGAACAGCGTGCTTGGATTATCTGTACAGGTCTCCTCAGATAGAGGCAGCGAAGACTCTGATGTTGGGTGTGAATCCCTGCTTCCCTGTGTCATGGCTCTCTGAGGGCCAGTTACTTCACCGCCGTGCCTCCGTTTCCCCATCTGTCAAATAGGGATAATGGTATCTAGCTCCCAGAATTGTTTAGAGAGATCAAGCACGTACTTCACAGGGTTTGCCGCATAAAGCGGAGTTACCTCCTGCTGCAAGGTGCAGGGTGGTTCGAAGCCAGAGAGGCAGTGAGGACTGCAGTCAAAGAAGGCCCAAACCTGTAGGGAAACCAGGTTGCGGCCTCCCTCAGGGCAGGAATTATCCAGATTGCGCAGAGGGAGTCAGCAACTGCGCTGTGAGTTCTACCAAGCTCTCTACTGAAAGGTGCCCATCTGTGGATTCTCAGAGACCATACTCTAAAGGGTCTGGTGAGGGGTCCTTTGGGAAGGGAAGGATTCCCTCTGTCTAATTCCCGCAAGCTCAAATGCTTCTGGAAAGCCTTCTCTGGGCCCTACCCAGCCATCCACCCCCCGCTGAGTTTGGAGCTCCTTCTCCATTGATTTCTTTTTTTTTTTTTTTTAAAGATTTTATTTATTTGACAGAGCACAGTGAGAGCAGGAACACAAGCAGGGGGAGTGGGAGAGGGAGAAGCAGGCTTCCCGCTGAGCAGGGAGCCCGATGTGGGACTTGATCCCAGGACCCTGGGATCATGACCTGAGCTGAAGGCAGATGCTTAACGACTGAGCCACCCCGGCACCCCTCCATTGATTTCTTAGCATCCAGTACTGATCTCTCAGTGCATTCCTATCTCACATTATAATCCTGGGTTTCTTTGTCTCCTTGTTGGCCCCCAGCATCTTGCAGGCAGGGACAGGGGATCATTTCTCCTTGTAGCCCCACTGTGTAGCTCATTTCCTGGCACCTAGCTGGTGCTCAGTAAATCTTGTTGGAGGGCGGATGATCAGCCCTGATTGGCTGAAGAGGAACTGGCAGGCTGGCCAGAACTCCAATGTGATGTAGGGTGGCGTGCTATCGACTGAAGGAAGGAGAACCTGATGGTTGATTTGGTATCTGGCTGGACTGTGGACGTAAACATGGTGAACTGTATGACCTGAATGATGAGAGTTTAGGTCAGAAGATAGTTTCTCTGTCATTTTCCAGTAGAGTGTGGTTTCTCATCCTCGACGTTATTGATATTTGGGCCTGCATAAATCTTTGTGGTGGGCTGTCCTGTGCACTTCAGGATGATTATGGCACCCCTGGCCTCCACCCATAGGTGCCCGTAATACCCACCCACCTGCAGCTGTGACCATGGAACATGTCTCCAGACATTGCCAAACGTCTCCTGGGACAGATCATCCCCAGCTGGAAACTGCGTATAGGGTACTTCTAAGTCAGGCATCCCTGGGCTCATAGTACTTCTTATACTTATTAGATGTGTCCCTTTGGGCAAAATACTTGGTCTCTCCAAGCCTCAGTTTTCTCAGTTGCAAAGTGGGGATACGATGACCTCACACATAATTTTATTGGCCGGAATTACCGATGAGGTAATGCATGTAAAATGCTTATTCGAGTCCCTGACTCCATTGTCGGTGCCTGGTGTTATTATGTGTCAGTTAGAAGAGGACCCTTGAGAGGGTCAAGAAAGTGTGCAGAGGAAGAAAAAAGGTGGCAGAGGAATATGCACAAGGTGCACAAATCAGAAGGGTCTAAAGAATGCGCCATGGAGGGGCACCTGGGTGGCACAGCCCATTAAACATCCGACTCTTGGTTTCAGCTCAGGTCATGATCTCAGGGTCGTGGGATCGAGCCCTGCGTCAGACTCCACGCTCCCTGCTCAGTGCAGAGTCTGCTTGAAGATTCTCTCTCCCTGTCTCTCTGCCCCTCCCACTCATCCTCTCTCTAAAGTAAACAAATAAATCTTAAAGGAATGCACCATGGAGAGTAAGTCATGCTTCGGTGCCTGACTCAGTTCCCCTCCCAGATAAATGTTAATAGTATCTGTGGGTCCTTTCAGAGCTATTCCATGTATCTGTATGTCTCTTGTGTATGACCAGGGAAGACCATTTTTATATAAAAAAAAGTTTTTTAAAGATTTTATTTATTCATTTGAGACACAGAGATAGAAAGAGCATGAGCAGGGGGAGAGGCAGAGGGAGAAGCAGGCTCCCTGCTGAGCCAGGAGCCCAAAGTGGAGCTCTATCCCAGGACCCTGGGACCATGACCTGAGCAGAAGGCAGATGCTTAACCAGCTGAGCCACCCAGGCACCCAGAAGACCTTTTTTTTTTTTTTTTTAAGATTTTATTTGTGAGAGAGAACACACATGTGCACCAGTGGGGGGAGGGGCAGAGGGAGATGGAGAAGCAGACTCCCCGCTAAGTAGAGAGCCCGATGTGGGGCTCAATCCCAGGACCCTGAGATCATGACCTGAGCTGAAGTCTGATGCTTAACCCACTAAGCCACCCAGGTGAATAGAAGACCATTTTTAAAGAGTCACATGGTTTGATTAGGTCACACAGACAGGAGCCCCTGCGAGTAGGAGGGCAGCTGCTGTGGGTGGGGCTTCGGGGTGTCACCAGTTTGCCCTGTAAACGACCAGGTGGCTCACTCTTTTCTGGAATTCCTCGAAGGGTGGTGCTGAGCGGGTGGGAGAAGGTACCCAGACCCGGTGTCTCGGCAAGGTGGCACCACGAAAGGGAGGGACCCAGCCCGAGAGAACATGAAAAACTACGCTGTGTGCCCAAAGCAGGTTGTCCTGGAGACCATTATCTCCTCCTTTTGCCGGCCAGTTTCTAGGTGATTGAAATAATAAAGGTCAAAGAGTAAGCCTTTCAGCACTGAGGGGCTTATGCATTGGCTGCAGGCTGTAGGTTGAGCGTGAGCACGGGGCCCTGGCCCTCTCAGTGGTGCTCGGGCCAGCAGCAGCTTGACCTCAAGTCCAAGGGCCAGTTAAAGTAGACCTCCGTCTACTTTAGATTCGACAGGAAGCCAGGGCTTGGGCTCAGGGAGTCAAGCCTGCTTGTTGGGAACTGGAGACACGTAAGCCTTGAGCTTCAAAGGAGGAAGCAGAGGGCCTGGTTAGAATGGAGAGTTGCACTCCTGTCTACACGGCGGCAGGCAGAGGCTCGGAGGTGGCAGGTGGCGGTTCCAGCCGAGGGTGGGACCGGCTGGAAAGCAGGTGTGGTGGGTTTTGTTGTAGCATCAGAAACCTGCCGGACAACTTGACGAGGACAGCTGACACCGCGTGACGTCTAGGGGGATTGTTGAGAGAGTAAATCCTGGGAGTCCTCATCACAAAGAGAAGATTGTTTTCCTTTTCTTTCTTGGGTCCCTATGAGAAGACAGATGTCAGCCAAACCTGTTGCGGTCATCATTTCGCAACACATGGAAATTCAAACCACCCGCTGTACACCTTAAACGGAGACAGTGATGTGTGTCAATTATTTCTTGGTAAAACTGGAAAGAAAAACCAAACCAAAAAAGAAAAAAAAAAGAGAAAGAGAAAGAGAGAAAGGAAGGAAAGAAAGAAAGAAGAAAGAAAAGAAAGAACCGAGCTTCTTGTCTTAAGAGCCCTGGCAGCGGAACCTGTTCTCCCCGCCCCACCCACACCACTTCCCATACTGGAGCTGTTCAACTAAGCAGCCACCTTCCTGTTCCGGAAGGGCAGGCGCTGCCGCCCAGCGGGAAGCCGTGTCTCCATGGCTCCGAAGCCTGCTAGGTGAAGCCCTTCTCATTCCGGTAGTCTCGGGGCAGCCGGGGCCCCGTCAGGGACTTTCCTGGTTCACTGTAACTCAGCTGCCCAAGTTCATGCTTCCAAACATTGTTGCAAGTTAGAAAGAACATTGTTTAATTTTGTAAGTTGTTAAATACTGAGTAGATACAAAGGAATACGCACAGTATAAAGAATAAAGATACAAGGAAACCCATGTACCCCATCAGTCAGTTTACAAATAATGTTACGGTTAGGTTTGGAGC